GTGGGTCGTCATTTCGGCACGCCCATTTAGCACGCCGTGCTGTGACGGCGACACGCGCCATATTTCACAAGGAAAACACGTTGTCCATTTAGTTTACAGAGATTTTTGGGCGCTGTTACCAGAACGTGAAGGCCCGTTGTGCGGGTGTCTCTGTGTGTGTGTGTGAAAAGACCACGACAAATCAAAGCCCTCTTTCCCAGGATTCCTACCATGGGACACTTAAAGGAGCGGGAAATACCACGTGTCACAAAAATACAAACCACGAGGGATCCAAATATATAATTTATAGCCCCCCACCCTTTACTACTTTCGTGTCTGTATTTTGTTGTTCCAAATTCAACATTAAGTCTTCACTTAAATTAAGTGGTCTATGAATTCATTGTATAGGGTGTGAGTTTCCCCACGAGTCAAGTACATATGTCCGTAAAAATGAATTAAGTTGAAATCGTACTAGAGCAGGCTAAAACATTATAAATCCTACAGCGCTAAGGATCATCAACTTAATATTTTTTTTAGACTTTAAAAAAAAAAGAACACAACGAACGTGTCGGCAAGAAGCCTTCACCAGCGAACAAATAACAGTAAAAACAGAATTAAATTTAAAAAAAAAACAAAACAGCTAAGTGTTATAGTTTTTTTTAAAATTTAATTCTGTTTTTTTAAATTTTTATTTGTTCGCTGATGAAGGCTTCTTGCCGATACGTTCGTTGCGTTCTCTCCCCCCACCACCCCCCAGGTTTTTCCCCATACTTTATTTCATTCATTTCCTTGTTTTACGTTTAAATAATTTAATGAGATTTGTAGACCCTAAAGTTGTACAAAGAGAAGCGAAGGAAAATGATGTAAATAGACCTAACGACCCCATCACCTCAGTTTGTATACCGCTGCTAAAGTTACAACTGGTTACAGCATTCTATATTGTTCGCTCAACTAGATAAGGACTGCATTTAAGCAATTAGTTTATGCATGTTCTTTCGTATATCCGTTAAGTTTTGACGCTATTATAACTAATTTGTTGTAAAAAGTGCCCCAAAAAAGCAAACTATATTTTCTTGGAATTTTCTGCATGGTGTATGTTTGATACACTCAATTGTGTGTGTCTGTCACGCCCTTGAGTATGTATGTCACACAATTAATTGGATATGTCTCTCACATAATTATTGTGGATGTCTGTCCTACACTGATAGTGCCATAAATCTCACACATGTGAGTATACGTCTTGTGTTTTTCTTAATGTATGTTTGTCACATAAAGATATTTATTTGTGTATGTTTGTCGCATATATTTATGTGTGTATGTGTGTCACATATATTTACTTGTGTATGGTTGTCACATATATTTGTGTATTTTTATCACACATGTTTATTTGTGTACGTTTGTCGCATATATTTATTTTTGTATGTTTGTCACATATTTATTTGTGTATGTCTTTCACTTTCAGACAGTTTAAAATCATCCCCGACATGAGTTTCGCCTCACATCCAATCCAAAAAAAAAGATAATAAGTTAATGGACAATTAATGACCCCATTAAATAGGTCAAAGGTCACAAAGGTTAAAAAAACAAATTACAGGTCTCTGACCCTTTTCCACCCGACCTTCCCCACCTTCTTGTATCGCCATAACTATACGTTTATATCATTTCACGTCATTATGTCCCCATCATTTGATTCGTTTTGTCACCATCATTTGATTCGTTTTGTCACCATCATTTGATTCGTTTTGTCCCCATCACTTAATTCGTTTTGTCACCATCATTTGATTCGTATTGTCCCCATCATTTCATAGAATCCTGCCTCCGTTATTTCCTATCACCCTATCATCATCATCATTTCGTATCACCTTGTCGCAACCATTCCACATAAAACTCGGTGACCTAAGAACAGGGTTTCTTTCAGCTAGACTATACCTGGGGGGGGGGCACAATAAACCAACTGGCACTGCCCCCCCCCCCGAATATCTGAAGTGCCCCCCCCCCTCGGGGGGGGGGGGGGAAATTTTTTGAAAAAAAACTGCCTAAGAATCCATCATGATTGATCAATGTAAAAACGTTTACTCTGGAGCTTCATGTTGATATTTTATTTTCATTCTAAATTTTACTGTTATCTATATTAAAAAAGTTAAAACCTTGGTTTCTATGGACCAGATGTCGTCAGCAATATATATTAATATATTTTGGTATGTTTTTATTTTTAACCAAACACAACGACTACCGTCGACATTGTTCGACTATTGTAACTCTTGTATACCAGCTTTGTCTCTATGGTCGTGATGGGAGGTGTAGATGTGTAACAGGAAAGGTGGGGGGGGGGGGCTGTTGAATTGTTTAAATTGTACTTTAAACGTAAAGAGTTTTTTTTTTTTTTTATTGTTTCATTGTTTGGCTATTTTAACTCTTGTATACGAGCTTTGTCTCTATGGGCGTGATGGGAGGTGTAGATGTGTAACAGGAAAGGTGGGGGGGGGGGGCTGATGACATGTCTAAATTGTACATTCAACGTAAAGAGATTTTTTTTATTTATATTGTTATGGCACTGCCAAGAGTGGCTATTATTAGCACATTGCTGGAGAGCTTCGGGAGCTAGGTAGCTGGATAGTGGAATGCTCTTACATTTGGCTTGGATATTGAATGGCAGCTGAGAATCTCAAACAGGATTCAATCTACCCCCTGATGACTCGGCACTAAAATTTTTCGTTAAATTGGCCTAATGAGGGTTAAAGGGCAGTCGCAACGTGTTTTCTTTATTTTTGCATTGAAGAATTTTTACACTTAAAATTGACAACACACATTTCTCGTATTCCATGGGACTTTTTATGTTAAGTGTTTTGGAACCACTGATGAATAGTCTGGTACTCTTGTGTTTACGTCACCTCGTTGACGTCTTGTTGGCACTTTCCCTATCCCACATGAACATAATGCCTTTTACTTACACTGTAGCATACTATTGAACCGAACAATCTGTAGATTAACTTGGAGCAGGTCTACGCATTAAGCAGAGCCGTCGTGTGGACATTGCAACCCCTGCGGTGGCAGGGGGTCTCGGATATTTAACGGGCCCTAAAATTGTGATGCATAAAAATAATAATAATAATAATTATTATTTTTTAATTTTAAAAAAAAGTAATTAAACCTACCGAAAAGTGGCAGGAGGGTGTCCAAGTATAACGTGACGGTGCTGTTATTAAGTCTGTCATAAATAATTATTAATTATAAGTATAAAGTATTTGAACCAAAAATAACGAGTAGGCCTCTATTAATTTACACGACCACGCCTACACAGTCGAACTGCTTATCGTTTGTTGTTTATGATGTTTAAAACCCACCAGTTGAACAGTTTATATTAGTGTCGGTGATGAATCGAGCAGAACTGAGAAATGGAGTACAGGCGGGAAAAGTTCAAATCACATCGCGCTGTGTATGTGTGCTTTTCTGCTTAGATCAGCCCTGCATGCAGTTAACAACGTTTTTCCCCTGCCTTGAGCAAATCTAAATACAGAGAAAATCTAAATACATGTACAACTGAAAAAAGATTTGAGTTTTGCATTCTCATTCACCCGGTAAACATGTTATCTGACATGTGACTTTTTATCTACCATTTGTATTTGAGTCTATTTTCTAGCCACGGTTTTTAAAAAAAAGTATTATGAGAATTATGTATACAATAAATAATTTAGGGCAGGTAAATGTTTTACAGGGATATTGTTCTGCATTTTTCAGATTTAATTATTCGTGCACGGAGAATAATTAACATTTGATGCGATTTTTGTATGAAGCCTTGTTATAGAAACATAATAAGAACATTTATATAAAATCTATAACGGTTACATAAAAAATCGAACCTTCTTAAAAAATCTAGAAAATGCAAGAAACTAATAAAAAACGAATTCACCAAAACTGAGAATATAAAAATCTATAGAACTAAACTAACATTTCCATAAACTTTTAGAGCCTATTATATATCACCGTGAAACGATATAGAACTTAACGGTAAATTCTATAATTTTACACCCCCCCCCCCCAAAAAAAAAATAAAAAAATAAATAAAAACAATAAATAGATAAGAAATAAAAAAAATCAAAATGTCTTAAATATAACCATTTTTTTCATTTTATTGAAAAGAGTGGCCCCTGTTTCCCCCAACATTTGAATCTCGATATTCAATTGTATTTTACTCAGTTTTGTCTAGATCAGTGGTTCTCAACCTTCTTAGTGCCGCGACCCTTTAATACAGCTTCTCGTGTCGTTACAACCTCCAGCCACACACTTATTTTCGTTGCTAATTCATAGCTGTATTAATGTGTTTTCAGGTGGTCTTAGGCGACCGCTGGAAAAGGTTCGCGACCCACATGTTGAGAACCGCTGGTCTAGATGCAAACATTAATGCAGGACCCTTTGTTTGAGATTTTATTTATGTAGTACATATAAAAAAAATAGAAGGAAACAAAAGTGGGGGGGGGGATTGGGTTTCCTGCCCTGAACATGTTTTTGAAAATTCATAAATACCAACCGTTGCAAAGATGCTAGTCCATGGATGCAGCAACGAAACATTACCAGAACCAGATAAAGGATATATTTGACAAGTTTGGTTAATCATCCATCAATCCATTCAATATATAATTTTCGGCTTATAATATATTTATATTTTATTCAAGTGTGTTTGTGTTACAAAGAGGAATTATGCAGATGATTCATGATTATTTAAGACTTGGCTTAATAAAATTTAAGCTAAATTAATTCATATAAATTTATATTTATGGGAGCTTATGATAAAATTTGGCATTAAAAAAACATTTTTGCTACTTAAAAACTGCTTAATAATAATTAGCAAGTCCGTTATCACCCTCTTTAGAATCGTTAAAAACAGCATTTTTTCCCCCCACAATGAAGAGCCTTTAAAACGGCCTTATTTACCTAAATCGTGGACGTTTCCACCCCCGCGCCAAGAATAGAATAGTCGACCTCGGCCGGAAGTGTGAAGGGAGGTCATCCTTATTGCAGACGAAATGGGTTACGGATAAACACAAATCCTCACGTAGCTAAATTCTTTTTTCTTCTGGCAATGTTAATATGGGATATATTTTGCTTCGCTTGTTCCAACTTTGCATTATACAATTTAGTGAGGAGTTAGATCATCATTTAAATTATTTTTATTCAAAATTTATTTTCAATTTCTCGAATATTGTAAGTCAAATTGCCTTTTCAACATAATAATTTTTATAATAAAATAATAATAACTACCATTAGCTAAGGCTAAGGCTAATGCCAATGATAAAAATAAAAGAGGACTACAAGATTATTTATACTACAGAGTAGACTACAGTGATACAGTCACAGTGGCTAGTTTCCTAAATTTAAAATAATAAATAAACTAAGTAATTGAATCAAGTATTTTTTAGTAAATAGTATATCGCTAACACTAACCATAATAAGATTAAGTACAAGTGAGAGTTAGACTAAGACTTAAGACTTTATTCAATAATTTGTAGGTCTTAATCTAAATTAGATTCTAATGAAATAAATATCCCTGGCCCTCCCTCTCTCTATCTTTCCCCACAATCTCATCAGCACCATCTCTTTCTTCATGTCTCTACCCTCACTTTCTACCCTCTCTCCCCTCCATCTCCCTCTCTCTCCCCCCTCACTTTGTGTATTCTCCCTCACCCTTTCTTTTTCTGCCTCCTTCCCTCACTCTCTTTCAGAGACAAGCTAGAGCAGAGGTTCTCAACCTTTCTAATGTCGCCACCCTTTAATACATTTCCTCATGTTGTGGCGACTCCTCAACCACAAAATTATTTTCGTTAATACTTTATAACTGTGGAGTATATGTGTTTTCAGATGGTCTTAGGTGACCCCTGTGAAAGGGTCGTGCGACCCCCAAATAAAATAACATCAAAGCCCATTTTGGACATCTGTCTTCCTCTGCCCACCCCTTACTTATGCCCCTGCTGTCTTTCCCCCTCTCTCTCTAACTTTATTGTTTTCCTTCTCTGATTATACTTAATCTGATTTTAAAATTATATAAAATGCCAAATAATTTTGTTTCTATTTGTCTCTAGACTCATCTTTCACACTTTTTCCACCTTAAGTATAAGTTAAAAACACTTAGTTTTTTTAATTTATGAGATTTTAACTGCCTTCTCACCTCTTGCACATTCGTATTGAAATTTTACAAAGAAATGTTATTGAAACAGTTATCTCAAACTAATTTTTATTTCATCAGAAGTATGCTTAGAAAAAAAAAGAGGTGGGGGGTATACTATATTTAAAAAAAAAATAATGAGTTTCATAAGGATATTAAAAAAAAGATTACAGGTTGTAGAGTAAATCATTAGAAACTTGGTTATGGTTGTTCAGACAAATTGTGATCAGGAGAATTTCATATCATTAAAAGTCAGATAATTGATGGCATGTTAAATGTTATAAGATAAAACCTGCTATATATAAATAAAAAAAATTTTTTTTTTTTTTTTTTTTTTGAATTTTTTATCTGACTCAAAATGTCATTGTGATAGTGGTTACCTTCTCTAACCGAATGTAGACTGTACATTGTTGGGTCAAAAAAATTTAAGTATGGGCAACCCATTGCATGAATAACCCAGTGCCTGGATAACTTATTCATGTTTCTACTGTGCTGTATGTGCAGTTATTGATCATTACACAAGTATCACCAGATAACTTAAGTTTAATAAAATGCATACATTGGGTGGTTAACATTTGTACTGCATCAGTATAATCTTCTTGTAAATGCTTCAAATGAAACTTGTATTTGCTATCAATCACTATCACATTTTTTAGAGGTAAATCCATAAGCAAAATCCTTTGGCAAGAAGACCATGCACACTGGAGCTGTATATTTATAACTTTTCGTCAGATGTTATTTGTCTAAAAGCCATTTCAATTGATGTTTAACAATCTTAATATAAACAGATGCAGCTGATGGATTAGAGTTTTGGGGTGGGTGCATCCTTTAAATGATTAAATACTATCCAACTTGTTGCTGGGGGGGGGGGAGGGGGTGTATTTCCTAAGCTGAAGTTCTGCCTCAGCAACTACCCCTCCAGTACTACAGACTGTCCCTCTTAAATGTGATAACATCAAGATTCTATGTTATATATTTAATTACTCAAAACCAAGGCCGTTCAAAAAGGGGATGACAACATTGGCACAAATTGTCTTAAGATAGGACCCTTATATTGAAGAACAATAAAATGGCACATAGATTACTAATAGAGGGGCACCAAAATCTTTTTTTTTTTTACTGGTCCACCTTGGGAGGCACTTTTTTTTCTATCTAATGGTGGGTGCTACATTTCCTTGATAATGTATAAAACACAGATAAATTTTCAGGGTCTGGCCAGGAGTGTCCACAGTTCATTTCCATTAGTAACAATAAAAGTGACTTGTAAAGCAGAAGGTAGTTTTGGTGGTCTTCAGTCTGGGCTACAGGCTACAGTCTCTGCCATCTTCTTCATGTATTAATTTCTAGTTTTTTTATAAAGATATTATTTTTGTGTTCTTGATTTTATTCCCATTAAAAAAAAAAATTGTTTCGGTTTCAGATTGTCAAAGATAACTGTTTCTAGTGTGTTAATGGTTGCAAGTAGCAGGCAGCAAAGTAAGTATATACCAGTTCTGTTATCTGCAATGACATTTTTAAAGCCTGCTACTATTATATTAACCTGATTTATACCTGGGTTAGTATTGATGAGTTGTTGAAATTATGCTACAAGGAAGTAGGATGAAGCCAATGTCAAACAAACTAATTTAGCTCTTTAAAATATCATAGTCTGCCTCAGAATTTTTAAAGAAAAGATATAAAGGAAAATTTTTCAACTCTTAGGTGTAACTAGATAGAAAAACCGAAAGGGGACATTTCCTCTTTTGCATAATAATTTACTATAGTATTAGTATATCCCCCACAATGGGAGAATTATCACCACAATCAAAGTTTAAGAGAGTACCAATGAATGCTTCTAAAGCTAAAGACTGCATTTCTCTAGTAAGGATAAACACCTCCAATTAACTTACATTATAAAGCACAATGAGTTGGATACATAACTATATATCCATTTTTGTCCTCCATACAATTTAAATATCTAGACTTATTTAGCCACTCCCATAATAATGTATTGGTATGAATTCACACACCAATACTCTGTTGGATACATAATCATCATGCATTCCCTCAAGCCACCTACAAACACTGTAAGGCCAGCTTGGCCTTAGTCATAGCTGGTGAACACATGTTGCTGCCTGGCATCTTTGATAAGTTGGGGGTGGGGGGTGGAGATGGGGGTATTAGGTTACAGGCACAGATGGTATTCAGCTCTTTAACAATGTTTAAACCTCTTTCTCCTCTCCATCTGGGCTTTCCCCACACCTTTACCACCACAGACCCTCCCCAAACCTTCTTGTTTAATTACTTTGATTTGTGTTGAAATAGGAGACTTTAATAAGGACCACATTTTGATGCCATTTTCTTTCTTCTTTTTTTTTTCCCTTTTTTTTTTTTTTACAACTTGGTCTCTTTTTCCCTAAATGCGCATTTTTTAACCTTCAATTCAAGCTACAGCTCACTTTTAAAATAAACTGAGATTTTTAAAAAGTTTTTTTTTTCCCAAGTTTTTTTAAAAGGAAATGGAATATTTTGTTTTTTTTTTTTCTTTTTTTTTTTTTCCCTTTTTTTTTTTTTACAACTTGGTCTCTTTTTCCCTAAATGCGCATTTTTTAACCTTCAATTCAAGCTACAGCTCACTTTTAAAATAAACTGAGATTTTTAAAAAGTTTTTTTTTTCCCAAGTTATTTTAAACGGAAATGGCATATTTTGTTTACTGTTGTTTACTGGTGTCAAAGATTTAAGGATGTGCACTAAAAGAGTTGAGGGCTGCTCAAGAAGTATATGGTTTCTAACTAGGTCACTCTGTCAAAGAGTTTTGTTGTTACCTGAAATAAGCCAAGTATCTACACTTTTAATAAGAATTTTAAGGATTAAAGTAAATAAATGGTAGTATAGCTTTAGTTTATATAACTAATTATAAGAATGTTGGACTGCAATAAAGCTTTCAAGAGGTTAATAAATCACAAACAATTTATGTAAATAAAACAATGTAGGTTAAGCTTTAATACTGATAAAACAGAATACAAATGCAAAAGTTTCAGCAAATATGTCTTCATTAGTACAACAAAAAAAAAAAAATTCTAATAAGTATAAATAAAATTTACAATATATATATTATGTATCCTTCCTAAAAATTAAAGAAAATAATAAGATTGGGCACTATCCCTGACAAAAACAAAGCTCAGAAGAATGGAAAGGGTGTGGGTGGAAGTAAAAATTTTTAAAAACCTAACCGTGTGGAAAAACAACAACATTGCATCTATGTAAAACTGTGAATTTGGTTTATACTATAACGAGTCAAAGTACCAAATATTGTTATTAATTTATATTCCATATAAATTCTATCTGGTGTATTACTTGCATGCAATAGACCAGTAACTGCAATGTCTAATATCCCATTATGGTTAACACTATTAAGATGTTTAGAAACTGGACAAAGTGTTTGTTTATTGATGTTACACAGGTGTTCTCTAAAAGTGATGAACTGTCTCTCCTACGTATGATTTTCTACACTTTTTACAAAGGATGGTGTAAATCATTTTGCGACTTATAACATGCTACAGATGAAATTCTGGAATTGAAGCATAATGCAATGGAGTGTTTGAGATTTTATATAAGTTTATAGGCAGTCTGTGAAAATATTCTTTTTAAAACTGTTCTTACATTATTTTTTAAATTCACTCTCTTTTTTATCTTTGCAGCCCACGATCATGTTTCGCCGGAGTAGATTATTGGTGGAATGAGAACGTCCCTAAGAACTATTTCTCCGCCTGACACATTCAGTAGGCAAGCTCCATCAGTGATCACATTGGGCCAAGTTCGACCTGGCCCCCGGACCACTAATGAATATGTGGAAAGCCCCCGTGCTCAACCGCCATTGCCCCTCAAACCCCAACTGGCCACTTTAGCTGGAGGAGGGGGTGGCTCACCAGGATTTGCACACAGAGTCACTCACTCCACGCGGGGGGCACTAACCCCTACGCCCTCACCATCACCGGTTGTTTCCCAACAACCTATCTCCAAATCTCCGCCTCTGAAAAAGGAGTTGGCGAATAATGTGTTGGATGGGGGCAGAGGCGGAGATGGGGTCCAAGTCATCAACGGGGGCACTGCGGCCAGCGGCGTGGGGTCTAACCATGGAGATGGTATACTGTGTGAGCAGTGCGGGAAGTGCAGATGTGCTGCCTGCACAGAGCCTCGTTCCTTGCCATCTCACTGGTGCTGTCGCAATATGTGTGAGGTGAGTCCAGACAACATGCTGGACGTATGTACTTGTTTCTGCTGTGTCAAGTGCGTTTTCTACCACTGCGGGGCTGAGGAGGACAATGAGTGCTACGAGAACCCATGCGGCTGCTGCTCCACCCCTCACTGCTGCCAACGTTGGACTGTGATGGGCATGATGGCACTGTGTCTACCGTGTCTATGGACTTACTGGCCGGCCAAAGCCTGCCTGGCCGCCAGCACCTCCTGCTACAGTCACTGCCGACGCAAGGGGTGCCAGTGCAATGATAAACATGACAAGACTTCTGTGCTTTCAGTAGGAGGTGTAGGAGGAGGAGGAGGAAGCAGTGTTGGTGGTGTTGGGGGCAACTCCAAACATTCACAGACGCGGCGACTTTTGATAGAGTCCGACTCATCCAGTGCTTAAAGTGATATTTGATCAGTTCGTTTCTGATTCTATGAGAATCTCGGGGTCATTATTATTATTATTATTATTATTAAAGTCTATTGTTGTTGTTAATATTTCACAAATTTCTTTCTCCTACCCTAATTTTAGGACTGTATATTGCTGTTCTACACAAAAAGTTAGATTTTTTCTCCCCAGTCTGAGCATTGGTCCTGTTTTCTTCCTTCCTTTCTTTCCTTTTTGTTTTTTATAGAAATTACGTTAAAAATTTTCTTTTGGATTAGTTTTTTTTGTTGATATTATGCTTTAAAAAAAAAAAAGAGAATTTAGCATTCAACATAAGACAAGTGTTTCTTGTAGGAAGAATCTATTACTGTTTGAGGCCCCCCACCTAGTCATGAAAGTCAGATGTGGCTGGTGTTTGTTCTGTGCTTAGATGGAGCTGTGTTGTAAACAGATGTGTGGTGAAATTGTGTTGAGAAATTTGCTCATATTGAGAGGTTATGTCAACAAGTCATTCAAGGATTGATGTATTTGAAATAACTTTTGGCTGACAACTACGTGACAGACAATGACAAATATCATTTCTGATATTTTAAAAAAAATTAAAAAATATACAAGTTATAGTTATTTTCTTTTCTCTTCTTAAACTTGCCAGCTCTGTTCTTTAACTAAAACTAAAGAATCTCAGAGGACAATCAATGGTTTCACTCAAGCTGAGATAGATCAAACCAGGGCTGCTGAAGTGACCAGACAGTGAGACCTTGATTGGTCTCAGGTGGTGACACAATTATCTTTAAAGAAACTAGGCAGCCCTGAGTCAATTGAAATCATAACTTTTAAGTAAATTTTTCATTCTTTAAAACATGTGTTGTTTTAAGATTTATTTTTAGAACCACTTATTCAAAGTGAGATTTTTTTTTCCTTTCTTAAAAACCAGTTTACAAATAATCATTGGAAGCATGCCTCATATATATTAATGACCATAGTCACCATTAGGAATGTTTTAGAAACAAATTTCTTACTTTACCTTAGGAATTCATAGCTATCATTTACAACAGAACATTGTTAAATATTCATACACATCTATATACATATATATTTTATTGTTCATTCATGTAACTTTTAAATATAGAAAGTCATGTGATCTTTTACAAAAATATTTTTTTCATATGAAGGCTTGTTGCAAATTGTCATTTACTGGAAAATTCTGTTAATTTGTATATATTGGTCTAGAATTTTAGAAAGAGTTTGGTGTAAATTATTATTACTTCTGGTAGTTAACCTTCAATTCTCTCAAGATCAGACAGAAAAATAATACTATTTCATCTGGGTACATATATCACATGACATGGAGGAGTTTCAACGTAATTGCGCAAGTGACCCAATTTAAGAACACTTTGATTGAAACATGTGATTATATTTTGGGATGCATTTTAAAATTGTCTCAAAGACTTGGATCAAATATAATGTCTTTTAAATACATTTGTTTTAGACTGTTCTTACTGCAGTAAGATATCATTTTCTTTTATAGGAAAAAATTCATCAAACAAATTTTTTTATTCAATAAGGCATAACATTTTGAAATTCTATTACCCTGACCAAACTTTAAGTAGGCTGGCTATTAATTTTATGCATGAATTCTCCCTCAAAGCTATTGGTCAGAACAAAATTAATGTGTTTGAACCGGGTTAGATGAGTGGGACATTACCTTGTATTAGAGTAGCCTCTTATAATTCAAATGTAATTGTTCAGATTAACTATCGACATCAAGGATGTTTCATTTGAGTCTCACATTCAAGGTTTGGGTCATAAATGTTCATTTTAAGACCCAATTTTATTAATACATGTTAAAAAAACAAAAAAAACATTTTATTTTTTAGTGCTAAAACAATCTTTAATACCAGGGGTTAAATTTAATTTCACGGCCTTGTTATAAAACAAGTTAATGTTTTTTTTAAATTTGCCCACTTATAGCTAATTAAATTTAACATCCTTTGAGTATGTTAAAAAAACTATTTAAAAAAAAAAAAATTTTTAAATTTGGATTTCAATAATATTTCTGGAATTTCCCTCATGGGTTGGATAAAATATTTTTGAAGAGTTGCAAATTAGAGAGGCTAGCACTACAAATTGATGGAGTTAAGTTCAAAGAACTATTAAATTTATATTTGAAGAAAACTGCTAACTGCATAAATAGAACAGACTTCTTGGTTAGCTTTAAGGGAGTTGTGTTAAAATCTAAAAAAATACTAAACAAACAAGGAGTGGGCTGGGGGATACCTCCATGCAGGGGAATAAATAAGCAAATAGACCTGTTTTAAACACATCCTATGTTGTGTTTGATCCAGGTGTATCAACTATTCACATACATTAATTAAAACCTTTTTTTCATTCATAATTTAGTGACAATGGCATCTTTTTTGTCCATAAATTTTAATTATGAGCTGGCATCATGATATGACCTTGACCTAATTAGGGCAGACATTTGTCACCTTCGTTTCTAGTGGAAGCCAGTGATGGTCAGTGTTGAATGTTATCTTTTATCGTCAAAATGGCATTCATGGAATGATTCTCACATCATTGTTACCTTACAATGTACACTTACCTTGAATGGATCAACACATTAGCGTTTCTCCTTACTGCCTCCTCTACCCGCCAAAGTTAATATCTTTTACTCTTTTTTTTTCCCCCCATACCTTGTCCCATTTTTGTATGTTTTATCTTGAGCCTCATTAAGTGTTTACAAAATATGTCTTCAAAAAAACTGTTTTCACATAAAATAAAGGTTTCATGCCATCTTTACAAATTAAGCAAGAACAAAATTAATAGACATTTGACATAGAAGAGACAACTCAAACTATATATCTCATTACCGGGGATCGAACATGAATTTCACAAAAGCCCTCAATTACAAAATTCTGTATCAACTTTGACTATAATACCCCTTTAGCAATCAAGTTGGGAAATCAATTTTACTGTTCCTTAATCAACTTTCGAACATCAATCCTGCAACAAATGTTGGATGGACTTCAGTTGTTAAATCGTAGCAGAAAAAACATTTACAGGAAACATATAAATCATGCTATTAAATTATAACCATTGCGATTGGTGAGTGTTTGCTTTGAAAAGTCAGCATTAATGATTTTTTTTTATTTACTCAGTTTTATGATGCAGGGATTTTTATATTTTTTTAAACATATTTCTTTGAGGCTTGGAATGTCCTTGCACCAAAATATGAAACTTGTTGAAGTTTAGTCAGTTCTCTAAATATGACTATAGTAGATCTCTCTTAACTGCTAATAACTTATTTTTGTTTTACCCTAGCTATAAGAAGTATAACACCACCACCCCTCCCCAACCACCAACACATCTCCTCCCCTCCCCCCCCCTCCTCTGTTTTTTTAATGTGAATAAATGTAATGGAACTATTTATTATTTATTTAAATATACTTGTGACATTTTGAGATAAAAATCATGTAAAATACTTTGCCAGAATGGGTATTTTTTTTTTCTGTACCAGTTTGTATATAGTAGTCTTTTTCTTCACCTCATTATGTCTGTCCTATGTGATCTAGTGGCAGAAAGACATGTTTTGTGGATAGATAGAACACACTAGTGTTCAATGTGATCTAGTGACAGAAATACATGTTTTGGGGATAGATAGAACACACAGGATTCCACTTGCTTGTCCTAAGAGATACATTTTGGTTATATTGAATTCCCTTTTTCAAATTAGTATTATCAACAAATGTAATAACAGCCATCCGTATGTTGTTCTAAAGTGCTCTTGTTTTTAGCACAAGTTAAAGGATATATGTAAAGATATAAATATGTGGGGGGGGGGCGAAGGTGTGAGGGGTTATGACGCATTGAAATTAAATTTGTATACATATTATTATTATCAACAAATGTAATAACAGCCATTCTTATGTTGTTCTAAAGTGCTCTTGTTTCTAGCACAAGTTAAAGGATATATGTAAAGATATAAATATGTGGGGGGGGGGGCGAAGGTGTGAGGGGTTATGAAGTATTGAAATTAAATTTGTATACACACCAGTGTGCGGCCTGGAACAGGCCAAACTTTTTGCCGCCTCCTGTCCATGAAAAAAATCTACTGTTGCCGAAAATGTCGCCCCTCCATACAGGGCAAAAGTGCCGTCTGGGGGCAGACCCCCCTCCCCCTGCTTCCTAGGACACTGATTCAGACCAGGTGTGGACCCTGTGTGTTTCCTGCCCTCTAGCTTCATAATTTGATTTAACCAAAAGTTTTGCTCTGTCACGTAGTGTCTGTCAGTGACCGTACTATGTTAGTTACCATTCATTGTTACTGTACACTGGTCATTCGCTGGGTCCTCATCGCTGCTATGTAATCAAACAAGAGACACGCTCATAATGTGTTGTATCCAAGTAAAACCTGTTGAAGAGAGAAGTGGAGAAAGGTCAGTTTTTTTTTAAATTTTATAGGTTTTAGACTATTAATTGCTATTCATTTTGAGGAAAATCTTGACACACCTGAAAGGGTATTTAATTCGTGTGGAGAACAGAGATATTTGAATATTGGTCTTAACAATTGAAACCTAATAAAAATAAAAATGAAAAGAAATGGCCAGGTTGCTTATAAATAGATGTTATAAATGTATATTTTTTACTCTAATAATGAGTTCAATTTTGCAGCCAGAGAATACCGGGAGGGGTGGGGGGGGAGTATGTCGAATGAGGTTTCATTAAAAAAAATTTGAATCATAAGTTTTGATTTACTAAGGCCAAATGTCAGTGTTATAATTTACAGAGGCTGATTTAGGCAATATTTTGCTTCATGTGACTTTGTCAGAATTATATCATTAAATTTGTTTTTGACTTATCTGTACATACTTGAACTGATCAATGAAGCTGTAAGTTTCTGATGTTGTGATGTACTTATTATGGTCATAAGCTCAAGAGTTGTGCCCTCTTATAACATAGTGACTGTGGGCCATATTTCTACTCATCACCACCATCATCAGTGGCGCTACAGCCCGTGCATGGCCCTGGCCTGCTCCACCACATCCTTCCATTCTACTACTACTACTGCCAATGTGTTTTATATCCATGTTCCATTGTTAAACCTGTTCTCCTCACTTACCTCTAGACATAATTTCTTCCATTCAGGTGTATAAAAGAGAAGCTGAAGAAAAAAAAAGATTTCCAAATTTTATAAGAATCAATATTTCTTTATAACAATATAATGTTTCAAAATTTAAAAGTCCCTTTTTTATAAAGCCAATTAAAAATCAGCAAACTATAAAATAATTTTTATTCGACATATTTTTAATCCAGAAAAAAACAAAAACAACTCAGTTAATAGTTTATTACAAGATTTTCATATTGGCTGAAGTCTTGGTAAAAGCTTTTAGCTTGTCTTGCTCTGCTTATTAAACAGCATTGATTTGAGTTATTCTAGACCTAATATTATTTTATTGCTGTTTTGTTTTGTAAATCAAGCTTATTGCTGAGCAACAATTTGTTGTATTCTTCTCTTGGTGGGGAAATGCATTTGTTTTATTTTATTCTATTGTTTTTTTTGTTTTTTTTTTTACTTTCTAAAACTACTACAAACAGTATTGTGTATATTAATTAATGGGATCATTCATTGTATTTTTTAAAAATACTTATAAAGTTGTAAATTACTTCTTTTTTGTTTTTTTAATGAATAATTTCATATTGTATTTAAACGGACTTCAAAAATATTACAGATTGATTTTATACAACCAATGATCCATATTATCATACTGCAACTCAAAGAAATTTTTATACTACAGAAAAGTTTGTGGCAAAATTTGGCTTTTTCTCTGATATAATCTTGTCTTAAGAACCTGCTATAATATAGCAGTGCTATAAATGTATAATTTGATACAATCATATTTGCCACTATTACAAATTAAAAAAAAAATGTAAATTAGCACAAAATGACAGCTGTAACACTAATCTGTGTTCAGAGGAATGCAGTTGATACTTAGATCATTGTGTGTATAAAATCATTCTTTGACCACTGGCTGCTTCTGAATTACTTATTTTAAAGACAGCATAGTGAAGCCTCTTAGCCTGGAAGCCAGCATTTAAAAAAAAAAAATTCTCTTAATTACAATGAAAGAAAAAATGCATTGAAAAGAGTAGTATAGCTACTGTAAACATCTTTATGATACTTTGATGTAGCCATTCATCGCCAATATCATGTCATCTGATGTTTGTGGTTTTGGCAAGGGTAGGGAGGGATGGGCGTTTTGTGTAGAGTGAAGAAAAGGAAGCCAAAAAAAAAAAAAAACAACAACAACACTCTACTGTGATATGTACTTTTGTTGGTCCACTTCCTCTCCCCATTCAATTGTTCAATGAACCAGGTCAGGTCATGATTCGTTGTTGTTTGGTGTTTTAAAGAAAACAAATTGCTGATCATTATGCCATGTATATGGAACATGTACAAATATAAATGTATGGTTGTATTAAAACACACTGTGTATAATACATGAGAGCGGGTCTTTTTTCGTTTCATTGTCGTAATGGTGAGTGCTGTGACTGACTTGTGGTGATGTGATTGGAGTTACTGTCATGTGTGACTGTCATTTGGTGTGACTGTCATATGTTGTAACGGGTGTGACTGACTCGTGTTACCACTGTTTTGTGACAGATCGGCCTGCCTTTTGAAAGCTGATAGTTTTAGAGAGCAGTATTGGACCCCAAGGCCTTAAGAGTTCCCTGCGTCACCACAGGTACGGCTTTGCTGCAAAGGTGTTCTCATCGGCGGTACTCTCATTCTAATCAAGCACATTTTACTTTCCACGTAGCGCTGTTGGTAGACTAACAGTCGATTTAGATCTAGTTCCCCCCCCCCCCCCCCCCCCC